TTTTTCTCGGGTTTTTTTTTTTGTTTTTTCTTCGTCTACAGTGCTTCCCTTAAGCTGAAACCAAAATAAGGGACCACTTTGAAGCAAAACACAACCAAACAAACATGCACAATTTGATGAGGGGAATGTATGTAATTCTGTCAAGAGTTATGTTATGTGATTGAGCTTTTGAAGTTGTGAAGTTGTGTTTGTGACAATTAGTTTGAACTCACATTGTAAGTACATAATGATTTCTTGTACGTATATACTTGTGTTTGATTTTGATATGTATATAATAGGGTTTTTTCCAATCCGTATTAGATTTGTAGATTTGGAGATATGACTGGTGTATTTAATTTAGATTTTTTAACACTTTTAAAACTTTCGAGATATTCCTTTGGAATTTAAAAAAAAAAAATTACAAAATCATGTGGTATTTAGGTTATTTCAGACTGAAATTTGTTACGACTTTATAAGATTTGTTGAGATTTTTTTTTATAAAAAAAAATCTCAATTTCTCCTTATGAAAATGTTAAAAGGTCTCGATGCTCGAAAAGTTTCAAAATATCATTAAAAATCCCGAACGAATATATCCCGAATAGTATGAAGGGGGAAGCAACTAAATTCACCAATATTTCTCATGTGAAATTTAAAAATACCTATACATATTTATAGGCAAATCTTACATATTAACTTCTAATTGCTAAATATTACCTGTTTAATTACGGATAAAATATACTACTTTAAACTTATGGTGTTTTTTTTTTTTTTGTTGAAATTTCATAGAATTCGTTGCGAGATTATTATACTTAGGTGAGATGGTCATTGAATTCGTTGCGAGATAATTATATTTAGGTAAAATGGATAGACACGAGATGGAAGATTGATCTCCTAAAAACATAAATTTTAAAATACAAATACCAAAATATTTTAAAAAATAATATAATTCAAAATTCGATAATAAAAATAAACTACAAATTCAATCATTCATAAATACTGAAAGTTTGTATATTTACAATTAGAAAAATAAAAACTTCGTAGATATGCAAATAAATATGCATTTGTATGTAAATGTGCAATTTTCTCTTTTTCCATTACATACACTTGAGTGCTAAATAGAAAATTATACACCAAAAAATTATTTCTTGTTATACATTTGCATAAATAAACAACTATTAAAACGCAAAATTATTAATTTTTAAATATAATCATAACATGTTCTTATTTATATAGGCCTAATTATTTAATTTAGTTTCTTTCAAAGTTTGTTATTTTTAAAGTTTATATATTTGGAGGAACCGCCCCGCCTCAGAAACCACTCTCCCAACTGTGGGCGCAAAACAGAGAAACGCAGCCCAACACTTCTGGAGCGAGGAAAAAGTGCAGAACAGAACAAGAACTGCCGATGACTCTCACCAACCGTTAATTAACAGCCGTCACCCATCGCCTCAACTCCCCCACAAAAACA